GAATCATAAGAAACGAGCTTTCAATTTTATCCGTTTTGCTCCACTTTCGTTCTTCTGATTCCATAGAGATCCGTTCGAAATCAGCAACGTTGTGATTTGAGACGTATACAGAGGAGGTGAAAAAATGTTTAAGTTCTTAAAGGGAGTAGTGGCTGGATCTGGAACGGGACTCAAGGATCTGCCTTACAACATCGGTGATCCTTACCCTTCTGCTTGGGGTTCATGGAATCACTTTCGTGGTACCTCCAAGGTTATTTCTCCAATTTCCCTTCTCTCTGTAATTCTTCGTAGCTGTATATTGAATCCTCCAAGGTTAGATTCTGCTACTATGCTGCAGATTAGTTGTATGATTGAATTTGGTGCTATTATGTGTTACTTTATTGTCAATTCGATTTTCTATGTAATGTGTGATCCAGCAGGTTTAGTAGCTGTAGTTTTTCAAGTCTTATCTCATGACCATTCGAGTTATGATTCTTCTTGGTTCTTCCAAGTTTGTGAGTTTTGCATTGCTTTCACTCTTAATAGTAAGCTTGTGTCTCTGGATAAGCGTGTATCTGGCTCATTTGATTGTTATTGTGACTACGTTTTATATCTTTTTGCTTTATTATGATGATACAATCCCATTTTCCGTACTGTTGGTTTCTGTAGGATGACGGATCTCCAGTTTCGATATTTGCACTTTCTGGGAACAATGCTCAAGATGGGCATTTGGCTGCTGGTAGAAATGGTGTCAAGCGCCTTCGTACCGTAAGCTCTCTTAAATTTATAACATGGTTAAGGCTCGATTCGTACAAACAAGATATTTCTTCTCTGATTACTGACGGAAGCTTATCTCAAGCACTAAGAACTCTAACTCAAGTACTTGGAAGTCTATTATATCAAACTAGCGAAGTGGTTCTTTGTTTGTAAGGGAAGTATGAAGGCACATTGAAATTTATATCGGTTTTATATACCTGCTTAAGAATTCTCTAATTGAACTGACACCAGCATGAAATATCTGATTTCGTCATATCTAGGCGAGCAATTTTACATACATGTGCTTCAGTTGATTCATCTGAATGTCGATTTAAGTGGATTTCTTTCTCCTCTTGTCAGTATCATTGGCATCTTTCTGTTAGGTAACCCATGTGCTATTTCCCTTTGCAGGTAAGGCATCCAAATATACTTTCATTTCTCCACAGCACTGAGGTTGAAACTCATGATGGTTCTACTTCCAAGGTTACAATCTACATAGTCACTGAGCCTGTTATGCCGCTGGCAGATAAGATAAAGGAGCTAGGCTTGAAAGCCACCCAGAGGTATGAACTCTTCTTATGAACATCTAGGCAGAAATTGTCTGTCTTTTTCCCACTTGACCTAAAATGAATGTTTGACACGGTAAATTTTGATCACCTCTCATATTTTGTTGTGGCTATGAAATATCTGCCTTTAGGGATGAATATTTTGCACTGGGTCTACACCAGATAACTAAAGCTGTGAGCTTTCTGAACAATGACTGCAAACTTGTGAGTTTTTGCTTATAACGTTATATTTCAGCTACTAGAATATATACTAAATTTTCTTGTCGGGTATTGTAGATGTCATCTTGAATTTCTGATGTCATCTTGAATTTATGATGGCAAACTTTGAAAAAAAAAAAGATGTCATCTTGACTTTATGATGGCAAACTTTGATTCCTCATTCCATTTATGTTTTTAAGTTGTCCTCCTTCCACGTTATTTCAGTTAAAACTCCTAAGTTGTATTGTCTCAACAGGTGCATGGAAATGTCTGTCTGGCGAGTGTCGTTGTTACACCTACTTTGGACTGGAAACTCCATGCATTTGATGTTCTATCAGAGTTTGATGGGAGCAATGAATCCGCAAGTGGACCTATGCTGGTACTCTTCATTCACTATTGTATTTATTGGGGTGTTTAACTATTTTAATCCTTTCAATTTTAAAGCCATTTCTTTCATGTTTGTTTTTCTCTGCCTTAAAATATTTGAACTTGCTCTGATTTGTAAATATGTTCTATAACTTCATTTTTATGATATCCTTGGTAAAACATACCTTGTAGTATCAAGGGTCAGATTTTAGTCCATATTTGTGCCCAGTGTAGGAATACTCCCAGAGTTTGTTGGTTCCTTTTCATCCTTTCTAAACTTTTTTTTTTTGTTTCAGCCATTTGAATGGCTAGTGGGAACACAGTACAAGCCAATGGAAATGGTGAAGTCTGATTGGGTTGCTATTAGAAAATCTCCACCATGGGCCATTGATTCATGGGGCTTAGGTAAGATCCTGCACGCAAAGTTATATCGCAATTATACGTGCCACAACTCTTTCTTACGAGTTTCTGCATAAATTTAAATTTAAAGAATACCTGGCCAGCTTGAGCGCAATTTTTTCATTGAAGCCCTTTACTTCCTTTTTTGAAGGTTGTCTTATTTATGAACTCTTCTCGGGCTCGAAGCTGGGAAAAACAGAGGAGCTGCGAAACACTGCCGGCATTCCTAAGGTTTGGTTCTCATCCCATTCGTTCCTCGAGTATATGCTATGTTTCTGAATATGAAGCTGCGTATTCTTTTGGCTTCCTTTTTACTTCTACATTTTTTATGGATTTTACCCCAGTGTATTTGTAATATAAAATAACAGCGGTGTG